ACGACGGTAACGTTGTTTGTTTTCAGTGGTGGCAATACCTTTTGATTGCGTTTGTCTGCATATTTGTGATACCGTTTGTGTTCGTGCTCCTCTGGGGTTCTTATAAATTGCACGGTGGGACTCTTTCCGTAGGAAAGTTCCTCTTGGCCTGCGCTCTTCCATTGCCATCATTTATCTACTGGTCATTTCTCTCTTTGTTTGGGAAAAGGAGAAATCCAGTCGTTGAAGACCCGTCTCCACACCAAAGCGCAAGAAATTATGTGGAGATGGTCCTATACGCGTCCTTCAAAAGGCCTGAAGATGGCAAAATACTGTCTTTGAGCTGGGAAAGTGTTATGATCGGCCGCCGTTTGATTCTCATTATGCTGAAGGCTTTTGTCAGCGACCCATTACTGCGTCTTCTCATCATGACTCTTTTCGGCGTTCTGTTTCTCCTTCACCACGCCTTGACTCAGCCATTTCGTGATGCTATTGCCAACACAGTAGAAACCATTTCTTTGCTGTTTATTGTTGTCCTGGGGTTGTTAAATGTGTTTTTTGCATCTTTTCTGTCGTTGGCTGTTCCATTTGACGATCATTTCAGCACCTGGTGGAAGGTCTGTCAAGGAGTGGAAGTCGTCATTCTCTGTCTAGTACCTGGGGCGTTAGGGCTTCTTATAGTCACCGTTGTTTTATCCCAGCTCTGCCGGATAACTGTTGTTGTTTGCCGTTTTTTGTCAAACCTTTTCTGGATTTGCTTTCGTTTTTGTTATAGCAAGCAGCATGACGAGACGAGACCGCTACTGACCCCAGTTAGCTAAGCTGTCTTATCGCTTTCATGTGGTATCTGATTTCAAATACCAATTGCGTTTCCAATTCCATTTTCAATCTGTGCAGAAAACGCGTGATCTATCAAGCTATACTACAAAGTATGTAGTAACAAACTGTATACACATGAAACCCAATCGTAGTACAATGTAACAAGAGGAAATTGGTTATCCCGCACGGTCATTGAGAAGGGTTTTCGTGTAATTGCAAACGCTGCTTCGTCTTCACATTGATTTCTAACAAAATCGTTTAAGCTGAGGAACTGGACACCTACTCGTAGTTCATCTTTAAGCCGGGAGTTTGCTTCAAGAGGGCAGAGAACCGTGAAAACAGTAACTCCCGGAGTAACTACACATCATAGTTACAAAACATGTTACAAAACTGCCTTTTTCCCACATTTGTTACTTAGTAATAGGGGATGTAAATGCTACGTAATTACATAAATGTGAGTGCAAAAGTCTGGGTTGATTATCATTGATTTTAATGTTTGCAGAAGTCATGAATTCATATTTGCGTAACAACCACCCTAATGTTAATAATCGTAACCCCATGCCTCATTGAATTGTGAGTACTGGATGAAAACATTTTGCTTGTGGAAACTTTTCACGAGTGGAATACGCTGAGGAATGGTAATTCGTTGAGTACCCTTATGAGAAATGAGTAATTTACATAAGAGGGGCGTATAGAGAGTTTTCAGAATCTTCCCGCTGACCTCTTTAGGCAATGGGGCTTTTGCTACAGAACTACGTAGTTATCCAATCTGGTGAAAAGTCATATACTGACCGGCTTTAAGCGAATGAGAACAGCTTTTACATTTCTGGGAACAGCACAAGCCCGAACTTGGAAT